CGGTGCGAATGGCAAAATGTCATACTTCTTATGGCTGAATAATATTCCATTATTTATCTACATATAGTGTTCAGTCAACAGAGGACTGCATGCACGTGGCGGTACGTGCAGTGTTTCATCTCACCCACTGCCTTTAAATTGTTTTGCAGAAGAGAAGGAAAGATGGGAAGCGTTTTTATCAAGCTGTCCCTGCCCTGCTTGGTGCAGATTCTAGCGCATTTGCGCAGCAGCTCAAGGAAACAGTCACCCTGATTCCTGCACTCACTCCGGGGCTCACCCAGGAACACAGAGGGACTTTCAGGATCTCTGCTCTCGCCCATCCCAACCTCCCTCCATCCCTGAACATGTGCTGCTGTCCAAGCTAGCCGGCACTCCCTGGCCCCATGTCTCTCCACCTCTCACACACACGCACAGACCAGCGCGATGGCCCTCGCCGGCCTGAGGGCAGCGCAGTGCAGAGGTCAAGAGTGAAATGCTGGAGAAAGACTCCCAGGACTCAGACCAACCTCTCCCCTTTATTAGCTGTATTGCCCTTGGAAATTATTAACTTCCCTTATCCATAGTTTTCACCTCTGTGAACTGGGGAGATCGGTAGCTACCTTGGAGATTTGCTAAGCGGGGTGAATCCACCTGAGCGACTGCGAAGAGCACCTGCAGCATGAGACAGGCTGCCCAGATGGTTCAGTGGTTTCTTCTAGGCTGCTGTCCTGTGGGGCGGGGGAGGCTTTGGGCAGAATGACCGGTGTCAGGAGAGAAGGGACAATTTTCAAAGCTGTCCCCTCTCTACCGGGAAGGACAAAAGTGAATCACGGGGGCCAACTTTAGGCCCTACGGCCTTGAGAGAGCACCAGAGCAATCTCATACTGAGCTCTCTGAACCAGCCTGCGCCTGCTGTTCATTTTCTCCACATCTACCTCCTTGCAGTCAGCCCCCATAAAAAGTCTAAACACGACCTTCCTTTGTCGCCATTTCTCTGCAACTCATCATTCTTCGATTAAGATACCATCCATATAAGCTGGAGGTCGAGGCCACCTCTTTGAGTTATTCTTTTCTCTGAGTTTCCTCACCTATGCACGAGATATACCTGTTAATAAACTTCTGTTTGTTTTCCTCTCACTCATCTACCTTTTGTTACCAGGGCTCCAGGCAAAGAACTTAGAAGCATAGAAGCCGTTTTTCCTGCCAGAGACAAAGCCCAAGAAGTAATCTTCATTGTGGTTTGGCCCTCTGAGAAAACGTCTGCTTCTCCCCAAGTCTGTGCCCGTGGGTGGCCCACCCAACAGGGGTCAGCACACGGCTGACTTCCCAGGAGCCCTCTGCGCCTGCCCTGGGTGGAGATAGCCGCATCTTTCCTGCTCGCTCCCCCATGAGTTCCCCCCAGACTTTCTCCCTGCGGGGTGGTCTACAAGCTTGTGTCCCAGGGGCGAGAGCACAAGCCCTTCGAAAGGATCCGGCTTGAGGTAGGGGACTGAGTCCATGTGGGAATCAGGCGAGTTTAGGAAGCGGCTGCTCCTGATCACACCCAGAGTCCAGCGCTGGCCGAACCCTGCTCCCCGGGCCTGGGGGCCAGAGGCAGAGCTGCGCTCCCCCTGCCTGGCCTCGCCTCGGAGAGCCTCCTCCTGTGTTCCCGAGCAGGCAAATCTCCCAGAAGACACCCCCCAAGATCACTGGCACCACCTAACACTCACTCCACAGCTGTGGTGCCTGGAAAAGCAGCTGCACTGCTGTCCTTCGCTGGGGTCCAGTGAGCGCGCACGCTCGCAGGCAGCGCAGAATCGGAAACAAACACGGGTGCCCGCCTCACCCTTCCACATGTCCACTTGAAGCCTACACTGTTGGTCTCACAACAGAAAACCACTCGTGACCTCTTAAGGGATCAGAGGGAAAAGGCAGGGAGACGGTGATAACAAATCTACCCTTCACGGAAGCAGCGGCATCCTCATTTGTCTTTCACAGTGATCGCCGCGAGCGAGAGAAGAACAGCGCAGAGCCGCCGTCCGTCCATCGTCCGGTCCGTCGGCGGCGGCGCTTCCATTGGGGAAAGGATCACGCTGCTAAAGTAAGGGCGTGAGGCCTCGAACGGACAGACGGACGGCTGCAGGTGAGCTGGGTCCTCCCTCCCGGAGGTGGGCCATCAGGGCATGCTGGGGTCAACACTCGTCAGGAGATGCTGTAATCTGCTGCAGCTCAGAGCGCATGGTGAGGGGAGGAAAAGCTTCTCCCCCTCACACATCAGAACAGTTTTGCAGCGTCCCCAACGGGATGCCAAGTGACTCAGCACTGGCCCAGTGTGGGCACTGTTATTGATGAGAAATCTTCCGCCCGCCTGGGTGATATACTGCGTACAACACATGCCCAAAGAACAGTGCCAAGTCACACCAGGAAGAGCAGGCGAATTACCCCCTCCATCCGAAGGCAGGCCAATCCTGTCTTACTGCAGGGGCTACTGGTGGTGGAGACAAAGCCCTAAGATCGGCAAAGACTTCCATCTAAGATTCAAGGAATTATTAGGCAGCGCCTCGCCTCTCTTGCTGACTATTAAAAGGCAATCAAATCGAGGACAGCAGAGAAAAAGGGCAAGAAAAAGATAATTTTTCAAAAACAACCCCAGAGCAGAAAGCTGCATTAAGTCTTCAGCGCCCCAAGCACCCTCCTTGTGAGTACTACGAGCTCCACCCAGAGGTAGTTTACAGAACTGCACGTCCATCTAATTTGGCAAAAAAGAAAATCTGCATCTTCTGGGGTCCCAGGGCGGCCCTGCTTTGGAGAGCGGCTGGACAGTATTCCTGTTTCTTACTGCTGATTAAAGGAACTGTCATGAACTCTGAAATTCAGGCTAAGACTCAGAGAACCTGGTGAGATCCAGTAGAACAACTGCCTTTGATATTTGCAGCTGTGAACGACTAGTTGAATTCCCGGCAAGTTGAACTCAGCTCAAAGAAAGCAGAGAGTTCAAAGAGTAGTTTTAGAGAAGAAAAAGGGACGGCTCTCATTGAAATAAAATATAAGAATGGAGAGCGACTCAGAGGCGGACAGGAGCATGTCTGATATTAGGAAGACTGAGAATATCCTCCTTCGAGAAGGAGCTCTGGGCCACTTGCCTCAAAAGTCCAACTGCAAGGCCCTCACTCTCTGAGGCCACTCAGCAGGTCTCCCCCAGGCAGGCACCACCCATACGGCCCGAAGTACTTGGAGTCAGTTTCCAGGATACTCCCTTGGTATCCAACTACTCAGCGCACACACACAGCCCTCACCACTGCACCCCTCCTTCTAGCCCCTCGGTCCGCGGGGGTGTCAGGCTAGGAACAAGAGCCTCTCATGCGCTGAGCCCCCAATTGCCCAGGGCAAGACCCATTCTGCTCCAGATATCACATGCGAGCCTGGCAAAAAATTAGCTTGGAAAAAACAACAAAGTGCTGCTGCCCTGACCGTTTCCTCCGCCATCTGGAGAGCCTTTCATCACAGCCCGCTCTCCTGCCTTCCTCAGCTCGCGCCTTACAGGCCGTGAGACAGCTCTGACAGCCGCGAGGAGAAAAGCAGCACACCCACCCTTTGTCTTCCTGCAACACCCCACACCTCCCGCCCACCCACAATAAACCTGAACAGAGTTGTCGTGTCCACTGACAAAGATATCTGTGGCAGTGTGCACCCACCACGGGAGTATTAAAGCGCTAAATGTCCTTGCTAAACCTCTGCTCGGTCTCATTTCAGTGGGGCTAAGTAGCCTGAGAATGCTGTCCTCTGCTTTAGTTTTTGAATAACTTTATTTTTTTCAGGACCGTTTTAGGTTCACAGTAACAGAACGCTCCCATTGGCCCCCTAGCACACCTGACACTGCTTCCCCCACCATCGACAGCCCCCACCAGAATGGGACATTTGTTCCAATCAATGGGCAGCATGGTCCATCCCCCAGATTACCCGAGGGCTCACTCCTCGTGAAGTTCACCTCAGGGGCCGGGATGCAGGAATAGGGACAGCACCGCCCTGACTCTCACTCCCTGTCTCCCTGACCAAGGAGGCCAGAACCTCTAAGGTCGCTTGGCCTCACCCAATGTGACTCCTGGCAGTGTCCCTGGGCCTGCTGAGGACCTCCAGGGAGGCCAGGTGAATCACAGAGGCTCAGCCCACACCTGCTGCCCATCGAACCAGAGCTAGAGCGTGTCCGGGCTCGCCCGGGGACTGCTGTGGTGGGGAAAGCTGCCCTAAAACCTCTGGAAAGAAGAAATGCTCCAAATTTCAGAGGGTCCCAGCCAAACAGCAGCCTCCCCTCAGAACACAGCACGTGCTCCCTATGGCTGGAGCGCCAACGCCCTCAGAATGCCACAGTTCACCATGGCGCCCACTCCAGCCCTAAAACAGCATGGCTACCAGTACTTTGCTCCCTGCTCCCTCATCTGGTCACACAGCACCAGGCCAGCTCCCTGGGCCTAGCGAGCGTCCGCTTCTCCTGGGAAATGCTGTGTCCTACCCAGTGGTCTGCAGCTTGGCAGCGTGCTGTTTGGCTGACTTGGCAAGATAATGGGCAAGGAGGTAGACATCTTGGTAGCGGGAAAGGATTTGGCTGAGGACATTTGCAGACGTCACGCACGGAACAGAAGGACACAGGGCCAATATGGGTTTCGCTTTTTGGCACCTTGAGGGCTCTTCTGCCAGCTGCTCCCCGCGGCTCCCCACTGCTCTGCATTCTGCCATGGCCAATGATGGCCGATGGCAACATTTGCTGGGCATTAAGCCACGTGACTCTCACAGACAGCAATTAGAGGAGAAGGAAAGTCTGAGTTGCAAGGTGCTGAAAATGTACTTAGCAAAGGAAAGAGTCAGATCTTATTTTCAATTACCCCTTGGGGATGAAGGCTATATATTCACCTCAAGACAGACACTGAAATCTGGGGTCTTGTGGAATCAACAGCTCCATCTGTACAAAACTCAGCTACAACTAGTCAATGTCGACTGGAAACCCACTAAACCAAGTTGTGTCTTCCCCTCGAAAGGAGCCTTACCTTTTCTTTGGCTTTATTTTTTGTCCTTGCATCCATCCATTCATTTTCTTTCTCCAGCATGTCGATAAAGGCCCAGCGAACACCCTCGATCAGTTCCTCCATCTGTAAGAGAATACCCAGGGAGGGGAGGTCAAACCTGAGAAACTTCAGGTGAGCTTTTCTGCACCCAAACGGGCTTGCATGAGAAACAGTTCGCTGTGAAACATGGTGAGGAGTTTCTTTGCAGCTCAACTGCATGGACTGGCACCTTTTCCCAAGAAAAGGCCTTTTGCCCACCGCTAGAAGATAACTAGCCATTTCCTTCCATGAAAACAACTGGGTGGCACAGTTGTAAGACTTCTGGGATAAGCAATTTCCCTGACGTTATGACTAATGGCGCACCTGTCTCTAGCCACAAAGTTAGCGCCTTCTTATCAAGGTAGCAGCCAATTTCAGCAGTTTAATAAGGGTTTGAGAGCTAAGCACAGGCACGGGCAGTGTGTTTCAGATGGGCAGAGCTGAAGAAAAGCAAAAAATCTAAGCAGAGCACAGGCAGGGAGAGAAGCCCCTCGCTGGACACTTGCCCAGTACAAATCAGACTTAGGTCAGGATCCCACTGCTTCCCACACTGTGGGCCAGCAGTTAAGCCAGATGCTTGGCTGTTCTCTGTCATCTTCCTACTCTTCCCTCTACTTCCTTGCGGCTCGGGAAAGTCTCATGCTATTGCAGATCTAAGAGGGCACTTCGAAGGGGAGTCTTCCGAGAAACCTGCTCCCCAATGCTGTAGCAGTGACACAGCGCTCTTAGCCTGGCTTTTCTTCTAGTATTGTGGGTCAGCAGAGACGGCGGGGGGGGGGGGGGGGGAGATGCTATCACGTAACTTCAATGCCACATACTGCGCCATCTGGGGAGACTCTGCCTGTTTGTGGGTGGAAGGCCCTCAGAAATCCATCCTCCTGTACAGATGCTCCGGTTTTCTTAATGGGACACTCAACAAAGAACACATACTGACTTTGGCAGTAAAACTAAAAATTTCCATTTGAGATTATAGGGTTGTAAATCCATTTTTAGCATTAACTCTAGAAGGAATGAAGTTTAGATGTTTCCTTGGTTCTATAATGAAGTGCCAGCACGGAGCTCAAAATAATTTTTTTCTGTTTAATAAGTTTTCAGCTATGTTTTCAGTTCAATAACAGTTGTAAGGGAACCAGAGCTGTAAATCAGTGGGCTGGGTTCCATCGTATGTAAATAAGAACAAACAGCAGATGGAAGGGGGTGGGGGGAACTTCACAGCTATTTCTTCCCAACTTCATGAAAACATTAAAAGAAGACAAATCTCAACTCAGGATTGAGACATGAAAAAGTAGGGAATGACAGGAAAGCAAAGATCCTTTACACTCTTGAGTCACTGTGTTTCAACCTTGCCTGCACACAATCCTGGGGAGAGTTTAAAGAATCCTGAAGTCTGGACCTAGGGTAACAATGTCACTGGTCTGAGGCCTGGGCAAATGGGGGCTTTACAATCTCCCCAGATGACTGGAATGTGCGGCAGGGTAGGGATCTACCCATCTGGAGAAAGCCTTTACTTTATAAGTAAGCAAATTGCCAAGAGAGACCATGATCTCTTGCAGCTTGGCAGGGTTAGAGGCAGGAGTCCATCTCAGAGCTAACTGAGCTGTGAGCTCAGAACTTCAGTAACTGAGGTATCGCTCAGAAGTCAGAGAAAAATGCCAGGAAGTAGAAGGGAACCAAGAGCAACGCAGAAGTCATGGTTTCAAACCCAAAATCCTGGAAATTCCCAGAGACGAGACCTCTGGCCTGTGCCAAAAGGGTCACGAGCACCCTTAAGTCTTTATGAGCCCCCCACTGCGGCAACGCTCACTAGTCCACCAATCACCTTCACATGAACAGAGAATGGCTCGTCTCCCCAAACTCGGGAGCAGCCAGAGGGATGGGAAGAAGGAGGTAGATTGTGTTGTGGTTCAGTGAACAAATCAATGGAACTGGGTGATTAATTTTATGTAGGGAGGTGAAGAAAGGGGTAGGGGAAACCCAGTCAATTTCCAGGCTGCCGGTGCAGGCAACAAGGTAGCTCCTGCTGCATTTCCTAACAGCGGAAATGTGGAAAGCAAGGGTGGTCTGGTGACATGAGCCAGGCCCCAGGAAGAGTCATGGGAAGTGGAGACATCGGGTCTGTCCTACTCAGTCGCAGAGCTTGTCCAGGGAAGAGAGCGCCAAGTTAGGATACAAGTAGATATCGGGTTAATGAAGGCCAGGAGCCTGAGGGTTTGGGATGGACCAATGTGCACGTTGGGCACATTGGGGTTGGCGTTGGAGTTGGGCATCACGTGGAAACTTGACTGTGTTCATGTGTCAGTGCAAAGTCAACAACAAGAAAACACCTGATGTAAAATCGATCCAAATAAAGAAATAAAATATAAGAAGAAAACAATTTGATTCAAAACTGGGCCCAAGACCTTATGAGACACCTCATCAATGAAGTCAAAAGGATGACAAGTAAGGGTTGGGGAAAGGTGTTGCCCGTCTTCTGTCGCCCAGGAAACGCAATCCAATGCGGAGCAGACCGGCCAGAATCCACAGCGCCGACACCACCACCTGCTGGCGAGGAAGCGGAACAGCAGGGAGAGTGCAGATGCCACACACTCGCTGCAGAAGGCAGTTTGGCAATTTTTTCACACAACTAAAAACACCCTTACCACACAACCGAGCAATCGTGCTCCTCTGTATTTGCCCAAAGGAGTCAGAAATAGGTCCACACAGAAACCTGCATGTGGATATTTACAGCAACATTACTCATAAGTGCCAGACCCGGGAAGCCAGCAAGATGCCCTTCAGTAGGTGACTGGATAAACCATGGTCCCATGGGCCCGGGATTTCATTCAGAGCTAAAACCGGTGAGTGATTAAACCATGAAAAGACATGGAGGAACCTTAAGTGTGTGTGGCTAAGTGAAAGCAACCAGTCTAACAGGGCAACTGCGAGGTTCCAAGCAGATGACATTCTGGAAAAGGAAAAGCATGGAGCAATAAAAAGTTCAGTGGTTGCTGAAGAAGAGATGAACAGAGAGCGCAGAGGGTTTTGAGACAGTGACAACAGTCTGTATATTACAGTGACAGATGTTGGTCACTAGACTTTTGTCCAAACTCATGGTATGTATAACACAAGAGTGAATCCCATGGTACGTTACAGACTTTGGGTGATTAGGCTATTTCAGCGGAGGTTGAACTTCAGTTAAAAAAAAATAAAAAGGCACCATTCTGGGGAGCGAGCTAGATAATGAAGGAGACTGCTGTGAACCTAAAGCTGCTCTTAAATTTTTTTTTTTTTTAATGAAAAGTACAGGCAGGATACAGGGAAGAGGAGGTGGGTGGAAATACGGAAGAGGGAGAAAAGGGCATGAATGGTCCAGGGCAAAGGGGATGGGATCCAGAAAACATATGGGCGCATTCACCTTTGACCCAAGACAGGATTATCAAGGAGGATACAATGCAAAGAATCTGTAATCAGATGCTGGGAGGTGGAAGGTCCTAGTGACGGACACGTCTTTTCTCTGTAAAATGGGAGCAAGATCTTCTGAGAAAAGGACTTTTCTCTTCAAAATTTGCTTTTTTTTAAAGATATATTTATTTATGCATACAGAACGGGTACAAGCCAGAGGTGCAGGGGCAGCGAGAGGCTTCACCAGAGACAGAGTGGGGAGCAGAACAGGCCGACTGACGAAGTACGCTGCTGAGGGGAGCAGCAGGAGGGTGAGGAGAGGTCTGCCGGGCCATGCGGGTCAGCTCCGGGGCCGGGGCTCGAACTGGCAGCTGCTGCTGGCTTGCAGTGCTGCGTCCTTGCCCACTGAGCCACCAGGGAGGGCCCCCAAAATTTGCTTTCCTCACACACAGTGAGGTGCATTCCAGCAGTACGAATACAGCAGTGAGACAATGACATTTACCAACGAGGACAGAGAGGGCGATGGGAGTTTCCTCCCCGTCCCGAGCCGGCATACAACGATGACGAAAATACTCAAAAAGCTGAGTATATTTAAGGAAAACATTTGGAGTAAGGAGTTCCAAAACTAGTCAAATAAAACCAGAAAAGCATTCTTCAAAACTAAGATATCTTTGGCATAGATGTGTCTGAGAATTTTTGGACTTCCATGGTGAATCCTAAGGTCACTTTGCCCCAAAAGAAGTGTGTTGTTATTATTAAAATGAGGCTGAGTGTTCATGGGAGACAGTATGGAGAGGCCTTTCAAAGTTGAAAATAGGTCGACCCGCATTTCCACTCCTAGGAATCTCCCTGTGGAACATGAAAAACTAATTTGAAACGATACGTGCACCCTTGAATTCATATTCACATGAGCCAGGTTCCGGCAACACCCTAAATGCCGGTCAGGAGGAACCGGTCAGGAGGCCGTGGCATACACACACCGTGGAGTATACTACTCGCTACTAAGAAAAATGTGGTCTTGCCTTGCGCAACAGGAGGGAACACGAGGGACCATGGTCAGCAAAATGAATCAGAAACTGGATGGTTCCATCAACGATAAAAAAGAAAAAAAAAAACAGCAAACAACCTAACAAAACACAACAAAGACAGCTCTTACACTCTGAGAAACCGGTGGCGACCGGAGGGGAGGGGAAGAGGGCTGGGAGGGCTGGGCAGAGCATGGCTGCCACCAGCGCCTGGGTGAGGTGGCAACTGCCCTCGTCTGTAAATCAGGGGCACCACAACAGAGCAACTACAACAGCCCTGCGCGCCGCCAGATGCTTCTCTCCGAGCACTGGGGTTTCGTGGGACCGCTCCTGGTCATTCGTGGGTGTTGGAATGGCTACTGAGTTCCTTCACATTGTGAGCATTTTACACAGGTTTCCAAAGCTCGCTGTGGGCATTCCAAATATTAACAAGAAGAGGCAAAAAGACTTCAGCGTGTCGCCATACCGAAAGACAAGCAGTTGACTCACAATCAGCTTCCTTCTTCCTCGCCTTCTCTCTCCTCTCCCCTTCCCCTAGCACATCTGTCTTCCCTGAATCCATGCTTGGATAGCACAGCGCCTTTGGGGCCTTCTGACAGCTGGCAAAAGCCACGTAATCATATCCCTCTCTGCTTCCTT